GTCACTAACTGTGTCCTCATACTTTCCCTGTACTTTTTTGTAGGTAGTCCTGGCTCTGGAATGAAATAGTTGAAATAGTTGTAGACATGTTACAACTTGCTGTGCTCACTCTGTTTGTGCAGTAGCTTGATTACATGTTTTCAAAGCTGCGACTGAAAAACTTCAGTGTTCTGCAGTTATATGTTTAGTACAGACACCTGTACTAATACAATCCAATAAGTACCTTCATCCTTTCATTATCTCTACCACTTATCTCATAGAGACTTGATGTAGAACATGTCACAACAACATTAACATAATGTGATAAACTAATTAAGTCACACTGAAGCAGAACAATACAAAGTGAACCACAGATGACATCTGGTACAAAGTTTGCTAAAGACGTCCGACACAGCTTCAACAGCCTGAATAAAATCATCAGTGGCTCCAGGTTTTCACTGTGAACTGGAACACAGTGTTTAGAGCTGGTTAACAAAAAATAAAAACGGCACTGCCTCCTAGAATCTACTCTACTCTCGGCCATTCCTGTTAGGGCTTGCCACAGTGAATCCGATTTGAATGAATAATTTTGGCAAGTGTTTTACACAGGATGCCCTTTCTGACACAACGCTCTCTATTTATCTGGGCTTGGGACCGACACAGAAGTCACTGGCTTGCAACCCCTGTGGCTAGATTTTAGTATTAATGAACTATATACAATGACTGTACACCGTTGTAAGGATATATATTAGCTCCAGCCAAAGTTCTGTTGCTGTTTTGTTGTAGTAGTTTAGTAACAAAAGTCAACAAAGTATAATAAATGTGAGAATATGATACATTTGTGCAGCACTGTAAGTGTATATGGTATGACACTGTAGCATTCATAGTATATAATGTAATTGAGTGATAGTATTTTTGGGTTAATAGATTTATGATATAGTATATAAAGCATTTTAGCAGCACACCATATTAACACAATCATTTATAGTATAGTATTGAATAGAACATATACTGTTAAATATACTAATACATGATATAGAATATAGTAAAACAAAGTACAAAATGTTACAGCAATTAAGAATAGAATATGCTGTAACATTGAGAATGGACTGTAATTGCCTAGTATGTTTGAACATACAGGAATCTGACTCTGGTACAGAGGCTCTCAGTGTGTTGTAAGACAACAGGAATAAAAAATAACAATGCGAACAGAAATAATAAAAAATAGCAGTAAAAATTCAAATAGGAAATATGTGCAATCAAAAATGGGAAAGGAATGAGAGGAAAAGAGAGACAGAAACATATATGCGTATATTTACTTTATGGCAGTTGAGTTTTCATACAACTTTATTGCACCGGAGTGATTGCTGTGTCCAGTCATACAGTCATAGATTGATATGAGTATGTTATAGCATAATATGTCAACTATTTTTTATTAATTGTTTTTGTTTATGAATACGCAGTAAGTTGTAAAGCCTCCTGACCTGCTGGTGGCGGTAGAGTTCACTATGATAAGAGCAGCAGCCGGGGTGACCTGTCGTGTTTCCTGTTGGACGTGAGAGCTGTGAGTGGAAAGTGAGTTTTTTCTATTTATGTAGCTTTGTCTGCCGCTGATCTACCTGCAAATTGGCTGAACGGGTTAATTTATATACATAATGTTTTATTTTCAGTGGAAGGCCACTAGCATTCGGTTGAAAGCTAATCGCCGCTAAGCTAACGTTATGAATGAGTGGAGCTGACGTTAGGCTAACGCATGCTAACGGGAGCTAAGCTGTTCCACTAACTCACTTGATAAAACGTGCTGATAAAACAAAGAACCCGCTTCAGGTGGAAAGTGAGTTTGTAAAACCACCGTGTTTCCGTAATGCCTCTAACTAGTAGCTTATTCGTGCAGTATTGAAAGTTTAATCAGATGTAAAATAACTTTGTGCGTGTTTCTTTTCTGTCATAAATAAAGAAGCAAAGGTTTCATCATTTACAAGGTCTGAATGTAAACTAACCTCAGCATCATATTAACCTTGAAGAAAGAACTGAAGTAGATGGAAACTGTTAAACCTAAGCTCCTGTGGTTTCCTCAGGCTCCACCATGGATATCCGACCCAACCACACCATCTATATCAACAATATCAATGACAAAATCAAGAAGGAAGGTGAGTGTACACTGATCCACCCTGCACAGACTCAGGTGTGGCTGTAACTAGTGAATATCCATCACTGATCCTTCTGCAGCTGATTCCAAACAGTACGATACACTGGGACTGTACATGTACACTGTACCATCATCAGTACTGAAGTATACTCATCACACAGGAATTTCCCCACTGTGGGAGCAGTAAAGTCCTATCGACCTACATAATCGTGGTCACAGCAGTGTCACTGCAGTCTGACAGGTTTTGTCTCATCTTCATCCTCAGAGCTGAAGCGCTCGCTCTACGCGCTCTTCTCTCAGTTCGGGCAGATCATCGACATCGTGGCCATGAAGACCATGCCAATGAGGGGACAGGCCTTCGTCGTCTTCAAAGAGCTCGCTGCTGCCACCAATGCCCTGAGGCAGCTGCAGGGCTTCCCCTTCTACAACAAGCCCATGGTAGGACAACGAAGCTGCCCTCACAGTGGTCACCAGTTTAACAGGCTTCACGAGCTCCCTTTTTATATTTGTAGCTTAAAGCCCATCGACTCAAAATGGTCAAATGTAACAAAAACATAGCTGTTTTTTCAGTGGTTTATCTGCCCATTGGTTCTGCCCCTTAGCTGGGTCCAGGTCATGGTCATTATATTACTGAGAATGATTGGGAAGGACTAATATGAATGTCCATTGATTTATGGACATTTATAGATAATTGTAGGGCTTATTACGGATTGTCTGAAATGAGCATGAAAAACGTATTAAATTCATTTAAAAAGTCTTAAATCTAAAGGGATCAATACGGCAGAAACAGTGTTGACAGTACTCACCATTGTTTTCCAGAGGATACAGTACGCAAAGACCGACTCTGAGGTCATCACCAAGGTCAAGGGCTCCTCTGCCGACAAGGAGAAGAAGAAGGAGAAGAAGAAGAAGGCTCAGGAGCTGGCAGCTAACGCCACAAAGAAGCCAGCAGCGGTGAGTGAAGCTTCGTTCAGCAACACTGAGTTTAGGTTCACAAACGCAGCCATTGGTCTGTCACCACTCGCTGTTCGCTTGTGTTTGAGCTCCTTCATTACAGTTCTCACATTCAGTGTAGACCGTTCGTTCCCGAGCCCCCAGGTAGCCATTCGATTCTGCTCACTTCAGGACTGGATTTTTCAGTTTCAAGCAAGCAATCTTTATTTATATAGCACCTTTCTAAATGTAAGACACAAAGTGCTGCACATCAGATGAAAACAAAATAAAAACACATTACACAGACGCACTAAAACGCTGCAGATGGCAGTTCTCTCCACACAGTGGGGTCGAATCACAGACTGAGATGTCACTGGCAACATATACATGAAGAACCTTCTATAAACACTTGCATTGTACAAACATCTATGAGGCACATGACCCAGGAGGATGAGCCTCCATCAGACCAGAGCCACATGACCCCCCCCTGTCCAGACAAAGACCTGCTAGAAGACCGGACTGCACAACCAAAACACCCAGACACATCATTCCTACAGGGAGAGAGGAAGGACAAATGGTTTCTTATAGAAATCTCTTCAGATGAATCGGCTGGGCCGATATAATCGCCGACACTAGCTCGCTGCGTGTTTCTGTGTCAGGGCCAGCGTCTGCTGTCAGAGAGCTCCGACACGACTGAGTCATCCTGACGCAGTAACGTCGTCTTTCACACGTCCCTTAGTCACAATCGTACAGTAACTACATCCAGAAAAATGTTTGTCTGTTATGATCAGACTTTTAAATATCAGCCTAATGAATCCAGGCTTTGCTCCAGTTAGCGTTCGTGCTAATACTCGCTGTGTGCAGAGCATCAAACCTTCGACCGTACTACGACATCCCAGTGACACAGCGACCGCCGTGTACAACGCTCTAGCAGCCACATGACACTGCTTCCTCCTCAGCTGGGACCTGACGGCGTCTGGGTCCTTGAACTTTACACATCACTGTGGTTTAACAGTGAGACTGATGGCTGAAAGGTGTCAAGAAATATTTTAATAACCAGTTTATTTCTCATCATCCCTGCCTTTTGTCTTGGTGTGTGAAGAGAGACTGGTGTGGACATGTTGTTCACTCACCCTCTGTGTTTGTTTGCAGGCGTCAGCAGCACCTGTGCACACGCCTGTAGTGCAGGTAAGATTGTCGACAGGAGCACACGGTGTTTTAACATTACAGGACCAACATCAACACAAACTAAGAACCAGGTGACGATGAATGAAGGCAAAACAAACTAAAAACAGGAAGTAACAGTTGTCAGCATGAAGAAACTAAAATGAGCTAAATCAGACAATTTGCTAAGGAATCACCAAGACTATATAGCTCTAACTAGCTGCAGTACTGCAGCTAGTTAGAGCTATATAGTCTCTAACTAGCTGGCAGTACTGCAGCTAGTTAGAGCTATATAGTAGCTAGTTTCTGCCTCTGGTCACTGTTCTTATCAAACTGATTTGTCAGAAAGATTCTGGTCTTACCTGGTTGAAGAGCAGGGTTGTGTAGTTGTCACATTGCACCTTTGGGGGGCAGCACTGACCAGGGCCTCTGTCTTCTCAGGTTCCAGACAACCCGCCCAACTACATCCTGTTCCTCAACAACCTTCCGGAAGAGACCAATGAGATGATGCTGTCCATGCTGTTCAACCAGTGAGTGCTGCGCTCACTGTCCATGCTGTTTAATCCTGCTTTGACATGAGGCCGGTGTGTAAACGTGTCCCTGTCCCGTGCAGGTTTCCTGGTTTCAAAGAGGTGCGGCTTGTCCCGGGGAAACACGACATCGCCTTCGTGGAGTTTGAGAGTGACACGCAGGCAGGCGTGGCTAAAGACGCGCTGCAGGGCTTCAGGATCACAGCGACCTGCGCCATGAAGATCACCTACGCCAAGAAGTAGCTCCTAGCTTCAACACAGTGACTATGGAGGGGTGGGGGGGGGGCCCCTGGCTTTCCATTGGGTTCACGGGTTCTTGAGATTTTTGTAAATCGTACAGAGCGTTTTGTTTTATTTTTTTCCTTTTTGGTTTGTTTTCTACTTAGTTTTTTGGTTAAATCTGTCCCATCAGTCATGGAGAAGAGAAACATCTCTGGCCTGCATCGTATTTTGTAAACTGTGAAATAAAAGCTTTTTACACAGTCGCGGCCTCAGAGCTGGTACCTGCTGATGTTCGTCTCTCAACTCCTCGTTACTCAGCTGCTCTGTGTGAGGCTGCAGAGACAGAACAATCCCTGGCTGTGTGAGGCCTGTTGTCTTCATCTCCACACACGTCTTGTGTTTATGAACTGAAACATTTCTTTTGGTTTTTGACTCAGACAACATGCACAGGGGCAAGAGAGCGTAAATGACCCCTTTGGAATCACCAGAGTTTACGTATAAATTAGTCTTGGAATATGGTCGTCATTGCACATCACTCAAACATTCACGGTGCAGGTTAGAAACCCTTATCACCAGGGAGCACACGCGATCGTACAAGCAAAGCTCAGGTGGAGCAGCTTTCACTTTAGGCTCTGACTTGTTTTATTTCTACAACTAATAAGCAAACTATTCAGTCACACGGCTACTTGTTATGAAAGAAATAGTTGGAATTTCAAGCACTTTCCAAACCTTTAAAACATTTAAATTCAAGCTGTTTCAAGGACTTCAAGGCCCCCCCAGTATGAACCCCCGTTCTGTATGACATGAAAATCTATGAGCCGACTCATGAACCTTCTTTAAGTTGTGTAATCCAGCAGCAAATGCAACGGCTGAGTTTTATCAGCAAACTGCACAGAAATGAAGTGAAACATCCATGAAAAGGTAGAAACCGAACAGCTGCATGAGAACAAAACGGGCAGCAGTGATTTCATGTAAATGGGGTCCAACCATTAGTCTGCTGCTTTAAGCTGCAGTGATGGACAGTGAGCTCCAGGTGGCGTCCTGGGGAGCTCCCAATTACACTGGAGGTCAAAATATTTGATGGCCTTTTCTATAATCAGTCTGTTGGTATGACAGGAAGTAGAGAAACCTGCGTGATGCTGCGGCTGCCGTCATTAGGACGGGTACTACGGGTCTGGTTCGGTTTGCTCAGAGTGAACAAAAGAAACTCTGACTTCCACCATATGCCCTAATGTACGTGGGCACTTCGTCAAGGTGGAATCGATTCAGTATTTTCCAGCAGAGTTTCATACTTGACACAGGACCAAAGGGCAGTGGTTCCCAAAGTGGGCGCCCTGAAAATACGGTACACTGTACAAGACGAGGCAGTTGTGGCTCGGGTGCTGTGGCAGAACATTTCCTTTGAATGGTGCCGTGTGAGAGATGTCATTTACAGAAAACATAGTGGCTGATTAATTAATGAAATACAACCAAGTGTTGTTTTTCTTGTAAAAGATGCTGGAAATTGTTCAGAGGTTGTTAGACAGCAGACAAAAACCCTGTTAGACAACACCATGACACCGAGGCAGCAGATTCTGATTTCACTGGTTGTATTTGAAGAATGGAAGAAAACCAGTCCAACAGCAAAAAGAGTCAAATTATAAAAGATCTAAAACTCCTTAACTGTACATATTTACAAGGACACAGGTTCATAAGTGTGAAACAGTGTGTGGCATTCATGTCGACAGCAAAGTAAGAATTTCACTGTACAGGGAAACACGTTTCCTAACTGTGCATATGACAATAAACACTGACTTGACTCTGAAAACGAACTTGATAAAATACAATGAAAACCATCACATCCAGGACTCATGCTCCCGGCAACACCACTGGAGTTCCCCCAGTGATTCCCAGAGCATTCCCAGAGCATTCCCAGTTTACAAACAGAGGTTTGTTCGAGTCTCAGAACACAAACTTTGTTTATCTCCTGTAAACACATTTCTAAACTCGCATAAAAAGCTGCATGAGTCAGTTTTCACACCGACCTGTTTCCCGCTTTAGAACAAACACCTACTTCCTCCTCTTCACGAAGGCCGCTGCTTCTTTCTGCAGCCGTCTGACGTCCTCCTTGCCGCTGTCGTCGGAGTCAGGAGGGACGTAGTCTGAGTCTTCGCCCACGTCCTCGCTGTCGTCATTGATGAAGCTGTCGTCGTCCTCAGAGTCTTCCTCCTCATCATCAGCGGGGAACTTTTTGGGGATGGTACGAGTAGAGCAAGCTACAGAAACATGGAAAGTGTGAGCATGTTTACAGGGTGATACAACCCGGAGTGAGTCACAGGAGGGAACGAGGCTGGGTTTAACGTCTCCTCCTCTGCACATACGGCCTGTCGTCATCATTCGCCACCTGCCCCTCACAGACCAGTAACAATAAAAATGGAGGCAAGCAACGACAGCAACATGTGGTGGACGTTTATGGAGAAGCTTCTGATCAGGACAAACTGGAAGGAACATATCGTAACCCAGTGGTTTGGGAGGAAACTGGGCCATTTGACCGCCACACACACCACCTGGTTGTTATTCTTGTGCAACGTGGCTCACATCTCAGTTACATCTGTGCACGTGTGGCGGTTTAGGAGCTCAGTGGTGTTCACACTGGAGCCGGGTACAGGGCGCTGACATGGACGGGAAGCAGCGACACAAGGTCAGAGCTTAGTGAGACATCAGGGGACTGACACAGTAGAAACATCAGAAATAACAGGCAACACTGAAACACATCTGCCTTATATTCTGTAAGTGTGTGTCACCAATGGCCTGACACACGTAGGAGTGTCCAGCAAATTTGTAAAATGATGTTTTTACTTTGTCACTATGAGTTATTACATTTATGTAATACAATAAAATATGTGAAGCAAAGCTATGTGCCGTAACATGGTTTGGTATTTTTATTTTACTTCATCTTCAGTATATTTTATTTCTAGTCCTTGTTCGTCCCTGAGTGAAAACCCTCTGCTCTGATGGCCAACACATGGCCTCCGTCACTTCTTCAGTCTCTCAGAACAAACGGGGAACAACATGTTTATCAGTGAAGAGTGTTTGTTTCATTAAGAGGAGGAGGAGGAGGAGGAGGAGGAGGTGAGGGGCTGAAGGACCCTGAAGCTCTGGCGACAGCTCCTCCTTCTGAGGTCGGACTGTTGCTAAACCTGCTGTCAGAGCCAAGACAACTTGAAAACATCATGTAACACACAAAGACCAGCCTACCTGGTTTCTCAGTGTGTTTGTACTCCTTCCTGTGGACGGGATTCTTCCTGTGATGGAAACAAACAGTCAGCGTGAAACATGAAGACGTTTTTCAGTCATAAATCAGATTCAATCACTTGTGCCTGGGACCTCCTGACTAACTTCCCATCATCCCCTTCACTCCCTCCTTTTCCTCTGGTGCTGATCATGCCGGAGCTGTGCTATCTGACCTGTAGCAGTCGGCGCCGTAGGGGCACTCGGGTCGGTCGGCCTCCTCTGTCTCCTCCTCCGCCTCGTAGTCACTGTCACCGGGGTGACTGCACTCCTGGAAATGGACCAGGTTCTTCCTGGAAAACAAACATCTTTTAGAGGTGATGAACTCCTTATGTGTGCACAGCAGGGCCCACTGCTGCTGCTCGCTATGCAACCTTTATTTATCACAGCAGACAGCGGAGGAGAGGCCCCACAGGGCCAACTCTGAGGCATCTCAGTCCAGGAACTAGAAGGTGGTGCAAACTAACATCAGGAAGGCAGGTCCGGCAGAAGGCTGAGTGAGGAACACAGCCTCATGGCTTCACCTACAGCCCAGATGACCACAGTGTGTCACAGTCAGTGACCAGTCCACTGCCCACCTACAAAGTCCTTATTATATCTCGGTGGCCTGTAAATGACAGCACACAGTACAGGATCCGAACGACCCACCTCAAGTAAAGTCATTTCAAAACTAGAAAACGTAGGCAGGGGTAAAGTACACTGCCTACAAAAAAAGGTTGCTTTAAAAACACACGCTGTCCCTCGTCACCACCCACAACAAACACCAGGTAGCAGCACAACCCGCCGGCAAGAGGTCCGTAAAAGCACTAAAATCCCCGGCATCCACCCAAGTCTCTGTGAGAAAGAGAGGATCCAAATCCATATAGTTAAAAAAGTCCCTTAAAATAAAGGTTTTGTTCCTCAGCGAGCGGACATTCACCAGGCCAAACCTTGCCAGGTGCCGGGCTTGAGGCACCACCGGTTGCAAAACCGGTCAAAGCGGCTTCAAAGCACAAAGATCCACCCCACGCAGGTGAAGCCGAGCGGGGGAAGGCAGGGGCTAGACGAAGAGTATGTAAGATGAGCCTTTAGTCTCACCAACTGCCCACTACACCGGCCCCACCAACGGAAACGTTTCCGCCAGGGGAACAAGGCCGAGGCCTGGAGCAAATAAGCCGGGATCCCCGATAAAACCGGGGGAACAGTTCCTCGTCCGTCACGTCTAAGCACACATAGATCCCCGCCCTTAAATTGAAGGTCCAAAAGGAACCGGCGATCATACACCAGCAGAGACTCAGTCCTTGATACACCAACAATTAAAAACGCCACAATCATCAGCCAGAATGAGAGCAACAGACGAGCAGCCACCAACACTGGTGCCATCTTGGATGCCTTCAACTTTAACTTAATGCTGCAAGTTAAATGTGAGAAGGAAAACCTGAGGAAACGAGCCGAGAGCTCCCGTCTCTGACAAGAAGGAGCTGAGTCAGGTTGTGGCTCCATCAGCTCAGGTGTGCTCCTCACCTGGAAAATCACAGTAAGACCTCTGTGACAGGACCTGAAATAAAGCCCAGTCAGCCTGGGTAACAGTACCTGTAGCAGTCCTTCCTGTATGGACATGGTGTCCTGAGCCGGGGTCTGGATGGGGCGGGGACGGACCCGATGGACTCTGCGTGTTTCATCATCCGTTGTCCATGTTTTGACTTCCTGTCCTCCTCCTCAGATTCACCGATGTCAGAAGGCCATGTAGTGGTGTTTCTGTCAGCTGCGGACGTCTCGCCTCCTGCTCCTGCCTCTTCCACCTCCACAGTGAAGCCGGTAGACTCATCGCTCACCTCAGACCTGGTGGATCCACTCAGGTACCTGACCGTGGGCTCCTTTGAGGGGGCACCCTGAGACAAACCATGTCAAAGGATTCTCATTAGTCTGTGAGAACTGATGATTAGTTAACCTGCTGGGGATCTAGTTTAACCCCTTGATTAATCATTTACTTTATAAAGGAAAAATTCTCATCACAAGATCCTAGACTACAAGGTGACGTCTGCAGGTGTCGACCAAGAGTCCAAAGCCCACAGACATCTTCAATTTACAGAGAACTTGTCTTTTTGGTAACACTTTATAACCAAAATATTTCCAAAGCATCTCCAAAGAAGTTTCCCAGGAAAAAAAACACGTCATTTGGTTCTAATTCCAGGTAAAACACAGTGTGATCCCTTATTTCTAAAAGCAAACACAACCTGGAGCAGGTGAGCTGCACGTGCAATGTGCAGATGTGTTTACAGACAAACAGATAATTCAGCATAAGCAAAAATAAAGTTTCCAGTTATAAAAGAATGAGAGATGGAGCATTGAGTGTGAATGAAACTCACATGGAATCAGTAAGAGACTGGACACTTACTGGGCCTTGTTTAAAGGAACCACTGTGGCTGATCAGGATCTGCCTGCACAAGTGGTGTTTGGGTGCGTCCGTGCTCATTTCGGTAATTTGACAACGAGCAAAAACAGTTCAAGTGTCGGCACAAGTAGCAAAAGGGCTGTACTTGATCTCCTCATTAAAGCAGGGGCGTGTTTTGGGCGTGACATGCAATTATCCAATCAGTGTGTGACCTCACATCCCCTTTAAGAGACATGTGAGTCTGAACGTTTGGCGGATTGCTAGCACAGTGGACACGCTTACCTGGACACACCCGTCAACAGGTGGCTGCTTGGTCAAAAGTCAACGTGATGTGCCTGTCGTGAAAACAGTAATAGCGCAGCTAGGAAATTAGGAAACACAGACAGGCTGCCTGCGCTGCATGCCATGGGGCCGCTGTGTCTAACTGAACTGGTAACAACTTTGTGTCTGTTTTTCCCTTGACTAGAATCAAACTACTTTCCAGGAAACTTTCAGGGAATCATGGACTTGTAAAATAAAAGCCTTACAAATAAGTTAAAAAAAGTACCGTCAATTAATTGTAAGCTGAGACTCTCACTGACTAACGGACTAAATGCTGTGCACTTCGAAAGGCACCATAGTGGTATGTGTTTACCGTTAGTCCTAATTTACGACACTAGGGTTTATGGTAGTACTTTAACATATTTTAATTTACAGCAGCATTTATTTTGATTTACTCTGTTTAACTGAAAAGGAGGCAGATGGATGGATTTAAAAAATCAAAGCTGGAGATAGGATAAGGATAATAACCTTTATTGGCCAAGTATGTTACACACGAGTTTGTTTCTGGTACAGAACCGATGGCAGCCATCTGCAGCGCCAACTCAACCGATGGCTCTAACCATTGGGGGCAACGAGGGGGTTCAGTGTCTTGCCCAAGGACACTTCGACACGTGGACTGGAGGTACCGAGATTCAAACCTTCAACCTTCTGGTTGGGAGACGACTGCTCTACCCACTGAACCACTGTTGCCTCCCCACATGAATCTCTAAAATAAAAAAGTTGAACAACTCCACTCACTTAAGCTACAGCAATGCACAGTAACACCCACTAACAGTTATACTTAACTGTTTTAGACTGAGCTGCTTCTTCTCCATTCATCTTCATCTTCCTCTTCTCCTCCTCCCCAATAAGCCCCGCCTCCACAGCTGCAGTGGGCGTGGCCTGTTTGGCTGCTGTTTGTTTAGTGCTGCTTGATGCAGGTGCTTTTTTCCTCTTCACAGCCGATTGAACTAAAACAAAGAAACGTTATTTGCCCAGGGTTTCACAGGAACAAGAGGCTGATCGATACTACACAAGTCAAAGTTGTGTACAAGTATGTTAGGTATTTTTAGTTAGACAGATATTGGTTAAATACTTTATGTATTAGAAATGTTTTAGAGTAGACAGGATGTCTAGTTAGACTGTTAATGCTTAGTCATTCTCATGAGTTTCTACAGGGTACATCTGGTCAAGGATAACTAGAGAGAAGAGTTGATGACTGTCAGCAGACAGGGTGTTTAATATTATTATTATGACGTGTATAACTGTAGCCTTAGCCATAATATGTTCTTATGTTTAATGTCATGACATGTCACTAGAGGTCGTGTTAGAATGTTTTAGCTACACACCACTTAATCAACAGACAATCACACATTGATTTTTCCTCATGCTTTGACTACTGCTCTGGCCAGCTGCAAAGCTGTCCCTGGGAGACGCTGCGGCTTGGTGTCTCCTGTTAGCATGTTATTAGCCCGAGGCGATATAATGTATAGCCCTGTTGGGTTCAGGGTCTTTCATCTTTCAGCTGCCTGCGTGCATGTTGGAGGTGCAAGATACCTGAGCGTGTAATGTTAATTTTTACCTGTGTTCATTGAATAAATCAGGACTGTTTTCAAGCTACTTGGACTGCTTCGTCTCTCAGAGTTAGCATGGTAAAAAGTACCGACTGCAACAAGTACTTCCTTCTGCAGTAAACTGTCTCCTGGGACTGTGACAGTAGTAGTCATCAAAGCTCTTGGAGCTGCTCCAGGTGGAGCTCCTTTTAACAGCTTTATATAGTTAGCTTAGTCCAGGGGTTCCCTACTTATGGCTCAGGCCCCTCCAAGGGGTCTCTAGATAAATTGTCACATGATTCATAGACAGGAAAGAAGAAAAATACAGAAAGAAATCTCAGAAGACGAAGACGAAGAAGAAGCTGAACAGGGTCACAGAGTCGTCTCACTGGCTTTAGATATTCATCAGGCCTCAGTCAGACATACTGTCTATACATGGAGATGATATGATGCTGTGGCAACCATACACAAAATACTGAACAGGTGTGGTATCCATGGCAGGACGCCACAGAGGAAGCCATCATTCCCCACTATGAGATGAAGATGCCTTCATCCGCTTTATCCGAGACCGGGTCACGGGGGCAGTAGTCCGAGCAGAGCCTCCCAGACTTCCCTCTCCCCACACACCTCCTCTAGCTGCTCAGGAGGAACCCCAAGGTCTTCCCAGGCCAGCCGGGAGACAGTCTCTCCAACGTGTCCTGGGCCTGCCCTGAGGCCTTCTCCTAGAGGGACATGCCCGGAATACCTCCCCAGGGAGGCGTCCAGGGGGGCATCCTAAACAGGTGCCCGAACCACCTCAACTGGTTCCGCTCTATGTGGAGGAGCAGTGGCTCTACTCCGAGCTCCTCATGGGTGACTGAGCTCCGCACCCTATCCCTAAGGGTGCACCCAGCCACTCTCCGGAGGAAACTCATTTCTGTCGCTTGTATCCACGATCTCACTCTTTCGGTCATGATCCAAAGTTCATGGCCATAGGTGAGGGTAGGAACGTAGATCTACCGGTAAATTGAGAGGTTCGCCTTACGACTCAGCTCCTTCTTCACCACAACGGGCCGGTACAGAGACTGCATTACTGCGGACGCTGCACCGATCCATCTGTCAACCTGCCGCTCCATTTTTCCCTCACTTGTGAACAAGATCCCGAGATACTTAAACTCCTCCACTTGAGGGAGCAACTCGCCCTGAACCCGGAGAGAGCAGTCCACCTTTTCTGACTGAGAACCATGGCCTCAGGTTTGGAGGTGCTAATTCTCATCCCTGCCGCTTCACACTCGGCTGCAAACCCCTCCAGTGCACGCTGTAGGTCTTGAACTGATGAAGCCAACAGAACCACATCATCCACAAAAAGCAGGGATGAGATTCTGTGGCCACCAAAACAGACACCCTCCATTCCCTGGCTGTGCTTAGAAATTCTGTCCATAAAAATAATGAACAGAATCGATGACAAAGGGCAGCTTTGGTGGAGTCCAACATGCACTGGAAACAGGTATGACTTACTTCAAGTCAGGTATAGACCTTACTATTATTATTACTACAGAGGAAAAACCCAACAAACACCCCCTGAGAAGCACTTGGCGACGGGGGGAGGAAAAGCTCCCTTTAATGGAACAAACCTCTGACAGACCCCTTGGTGGGCGGCCTTCTGCCTCGACCGGTTGAGGCAGGTGGATAGAGGAGAGAGAGAAGAAAGCAACAAACACTGGGCATCACATTTTGCCAATAATGTCACTGTTATAGAAAGAGAAGGATTTAGTTTTATCACCATATAGTATTGAATTATGCTGCTACTAAAGTATTGTAGTATTTTTATATGACATCCTATCACGCAACTCTTATCATTTTCACATTGTGTATTAAAACAGTAACTTGTATATTACATATAATGAACACTTTTATGTTTAACCCTGTACAGTTTAAATTTGATTTGATTAATTTTTATAAGATTTTTATTCCATGTAAATAAATATAAAATACTCTGGTGCGCTATCTGTCTGAGATTCAGTTTAGAGCTGTGCATTCAGCAGAGAAATAAGTGTAGAGATGTTTGGGACTTTCCGGTGATAATATTTCACCACCCATGACCTGAGGCTGAGCTGAAACTGAAGCTGTCACCACAAACAAACAAGTTCGCTGATGCATCAGAGGTTCTTGTTGCCATTTTGTGGGCGTGTCCAGTGAACACCTTCTCTGTGTCACTGGACAGCGGTGACTTCTACAGACAAACACTTACGCCTGTTTCTCTGTTGTCCAGTAATGAAAACAGAAATATGAACACAGTACCTTTCAAGGCGGAGGAGGGGCTTGTCGTTGCTACAGCCGCCATCATCCACGCAGGTAAATGTCTCTTCTTCTCTGCCGATGGAGCCACGTCACTGTGGTAGCCCTCCACTTCTGTTGGTTGTGCAGAGCCATCCTGTGTGAAACAAAACAGCAAACCACTTGATGACTGGCTGCCTGCAGATTAGTTCTGGTGTGTGACTGGTTCTTCAGCTCCACACAGTGATGCACATCAAGCAGGCTGATTCAAGAGCCATGATTTTTACTTCACAATGATACAAACACAGAACAGCAGCAGATTCTTAAATCTGACATGAAAAGTGCAAATCATTGGCAGCTGTTCTCTGTCCACTTTCTTAGAGCAGACACACACCAAGCCGACGGTCACCACTGGTGAGCGTCTGTCAGGGCTGGTCATCCCAGTATGTCCTGCACCACTGGCACTAGTCAGTCCCTGTCGGTGGCTTTTCGGCTGATTCGACATGTTGAATCTACATCGGGGGTCAGGCCTCGTCGGAGAAAGAGAGAGACCACTCTGATTGGTTGTTGAGCTTAGCAAATCAGCACACAAGAATGAGAAGTGTTTTGTTTACAGCTTATACTTCCGTGTTCTGGCTCTGCTTCTTTCCCTTTCTGAATGGTAACCACAGACACCGCCACCTGCTGGTAGGATGAGTTATTTCTGTTACACAGGAGCAGAACATACATGCCAGTCGGCTGTTGGCTGTCATCTGTGCCACTTTTTCAGTCCGACTGGCCCAAACAAAGCTGACATGAGGTGACGCAGCAGTCGACCTACGTTGCCGCTGGGTCGTTCACGTCGGCTTGGTGTGTCTCTGCCTTTAGGCTGCATTCAGATTAACTTTAGCAAAAAGCTCAACGTCTGCAGCAACACGTCATCCAAACACTTGTATCATTAGGAGGACAATCACCTTTATTGGCCAAGTATGTTACACACAAGGAATTTGTTTCCAGTACAGAACCGAGGCAGCCATCTGCGGCGCCACCTCAACCGATGGCTCTAACTATTGAGGGCAACGGGGGGGGGGGGGGGGTCAGTGCCCAAGGACACTTCGACACGTGGACTGCAAATATCAACAGCTTATTTCTCTTCTTCCTTCTCCCATGAATCATGTGGTGACCCCTCAGAGTTACCTGGTGACCCTTTGGAGGGACCCGAGCCATAGGTTGGGAACCCTAGCTGTATATGACGTAGTTAAAACCAGCTGCAACATTAAAACCTTGCTGAAGCTTTGATCACTCAGGATCAATAATCTGATCATTCACAGGATATGTTTTAAGCAGGATTTTGAACGCAGGACCTTTATGTGTAATGAAGTATCTTCACGGGTACTTTTACCGAGAATGTGAGTATTTCTGCCACTGATGGTTTCTACTTCAATGAATGCCTGTTTCCTGATAATACACAGAATTTAATACCTGAAAAATAAGTAAATAAATAAAAAAACAAATAAAAACAAGTTTTCATCATGAACATTTTGATGTGAAAACCTACTGTCAGTGCTTGTCTAGTATCTAGATGACTACATGCTCTTGGTCAGCACAATGTGTGGTGAAAACAGATCCACATGCTCCGATTTCCAGCTCTGAGGTTTAGAACAAGCACATTTATCTGTGTGGCTTCAAACCTTATGCAAACGTCTGTTGGCTTGGTGCTCGTTCGACAGAGCTGCTGACGTCAGCTCCTCATGTGGCGAAGTCCGACCCTGGTCCTGTCCAGTCACAGCAGGTATGTTCACATTTGACTTGGAAGAAACAGGACGGTGGTCCTCTTCTTCTTCAGTCGTCTGACTGTTTCTACAGGAAATGACATTTGACAGAAAGTAAAAATGACATTCAGCCTGAATAACTCCAAAGTCTAATAACAGCCATCACTGTTCACAGTGTCTGAAGGAAGACAGAACCACTGGTTACACTGGTCCACCAGTCCCTCACACTGCACAGAACATGGTGGAGTTGTTTGTTGGAAACAGACGGTGTGGCTCACTGGGGGGTGGGGGGGTGGACAACAGTGGAGGTCTACGGCACAGAGCGCTAAGCTGAACCGAGGTCTGGACTCACATGACGGTGAGGACACCACATTCACTGATGCTGCTGGTCTCTGGACGGGGGTTATGGGAAATAAACAGAAGAAATCACCAGCTGTGTCTTAATTCTGGAATTTGCACATGAATTTCACATGAGCTTCAGCTGCTCTGAACACGGTAACATTTGCCCGAGCGTTCTCTCCAATCTGTGTGATCTTCAGAGATGCAGCAGGACAGTGGAGGGGACGGTGACCCGGAGGGAAAAGTCTTTAATAAACCTCTTTATGCTGCTGTTGATAAATTTCAATCAGGCTTTAGGTCCCGGCACAGCATTGAATCCACGCTATTGAAGGTACACAATGATATTCTTACAGTGCTTGATGCAAAGAGTCCCGTTGTTCTGGTGCTTCTAGATCTCACAGCAGCCTTTCCCGTCTTGAACATTGCGTCGGCTTGTGTGGTGCTGTGCTCAAATCGTTTATTTCTTTTCTGACCAATAGGACCTTTTCAGTTATGATCAATGATTCTACCTCTGCAATAGCCCCTCTCTCTTCGGGTGTTCCCCAAGGTTCAATCCTGGCACCTATTCTTTTCTCATTATATATGTTACCGTTAG